CGTGGCGACGTCGATTCTGAATGTGGAGAGGGGATAAACCCGGCGGGCTCTGGAGGCGAATCCACGCGCGCGAACTCCAGATCCTCAGCAGGAGGCGTCGCGTGTGAGGGTTGAACCCACGTGCCTCCTGCGTGTCCGCGTCTAGCGAACTATTTCTTCCGCACCGTACGTAGCCAACCGCGGCTAACCGGAGGCCTGGGGGAAAGGACAGCAACGTAAACAACGCAGTCCATATGCTGTGGTTCTTTCGGTAACGTCACGCAGATAGGAGACGAAATAATAAGAATAATAATAACAATAATCAAATGATGCAAATAAAGTGAATAAAAAATATAATACAAACATCACGACGTTTCTATGGCAACACGAGCGGTCGTTCCTGATGACGACCGCCCATGTTGCCATCGAAACGTCGTGATATATTTTTTTTTTAAAAAATATTTATTATTTATTATTATTCACTTCATTTGTATTATTCGAGTGTTATTGTTATTATCATTATTTTCTATCCACGTGACTTTACCGAAAGAACCGTGGCGTATGGATTCCCTTTCAGTCACGAAAGTCTCAAGTCGAAAACAAAGCGGTCCTAAAGAAACGAGTTTTCAATCTCGATTTGAAAGTGCACAGCCGCCAGAGGATCTTCCTCGTGGGCGTGGGAAGGTCGTGGGAAGGTCGCATCTCGCCACCACGAACTGCCCTCGCAGCTGCAAGAGCCGAGTTCAAATCCGAGTGCGTGGCAGCTTTGCCCGTCATCAACAACATCATCATCATCATCTTTTGATTTAAAGCTTTCGTGACTGCAGTGATTGATATTGTTGGTTCTTTCGGTAAAGTCATATATATTTTATTAGTTCATTGTTTTCCTTCAACGTGACTTTACCGAAAGAACCAAGAATATGAATATCATCATCATGATCATCATGATCATCATCAGGAGTGCAGGTTGATGTTTAGCGAGGCGAGAGGACAGGATGGGCGTCTCATTCGCAGGAGTGATCTGGGAGGAAGGGCATCGGTCTGTTGCCAGTAGGTGGGCGGTGATTGGCTGCTGTGTGGGTCTCGCCTAGGGGTACCCCCAGTGGCAGCTGTCCCTGTGCTTTAGTCTGCTGCCAGTAAGGAAATCGATGATTGGCTGCTGCTGTGTGGGTCTAGCCTAGGGGCACCTTTTGACCTTGCCCCCCCCCACTCCCCCGAAATCTCTCCGCCCCCCCCTCCCCCCCCCCCACGAGCCCCCCACCGAGGTCACCACCAGTGGAAGAGGAACTCGTAGAGGCCGCAGGATGGGGGGGGAGCCGGGGGCCCGCGGAAGAGCCCAGCGAGCCCCGCCCCCCGGTCGCCACCCCCCTCTCCCGGTGGGGGCAGCCGCTCCTCCCAGGTGACGCGGTAGCCCAGTGCCTCCACGTCCACCTGTGGGGTAGACGGGGGGGGGGGGAGACACACGTGTGGACAAACACAACGCGTGGGGGTGGACACGTGGGGAGACACGTGGGGAGACACGTGGGTGGACACGTGGGTGGACACGTGGGGAGACACGTGGGTGGACACGTGGGGAGACACGTGGGTGGACACGTGGGTGGACACGTGGGGAGACACGTGGGGAGACACGTGGGTGGACACGTGGGGAGACACGTGGGGAGACACGTGGGTGGACACGTGGGTGGACACGTGGGGAGACACGTGGGTGGACACGTGGGGAGACACGTGGGTGGACACGTGGGTGGACACGTGGGGAGACACGTGGGGAGACACGTGGGTGGACACGTGGGGAGACACGTGGGTGGACACGTGGGGAGACACGTGGGGGGTCACGTGGGGAGACATGTGGGGGATCACGTGGGGAGACACGTGGGTGGACACGTGGGGAGACACGTGGGGGGTCACGTGAGGAGACATGTGGGGGATCACGTGGGGAGACACGTAGGTGGACACGTGGGGAGACACGTGGGGGGACACGTGGGGGGACACGTGGGGGGTCACGTGGGGAGACACGTGGGGGGTCACGTGGGGAGACATGTGGGGGATCACGTGGGGAGACACGTGGGTGGACACGTGGGGAGACACGTGGGGGGACACGTGGGGAGACACGTGGGGGGACACGTGGGGGGACACGTGGGGGGACACGTGGGGGGACACGTGGGGAGACACTGGGAAACGTGGGGATACACGCTGACACACGTAGAGGACACATGGGGGGGAGACACGTGGGGGGGGGGGGGGGAGACACGTCGGGGGGACACTTGGTTACACGCGGCGCCACGTGGAGGCACACGTGGACACGTGCGGACGCGTGGGAAGACACGTGGGGGGACACGTGGGGAGACACGTGGAGAGACACGTGGGGAGACACGTGGACACACGCGTGGAGAAGACATCGAGGAGACGCATGGGTGAGTCACATCGGCAGACACAACACACGGGCACCTTGACACAATCGAGGAGGTCCCGAACCCCAGGCTCTACACTCCAGGGTCCGAAGTTGACGAGGTACTGCTCCCCGTGGAGAGAGCAAGCGTGTGCGCGCCTGGCACCCCCATCGTCGTGGTGGTGGTGGTGGTGGTCGTGGAGCTCGTGTTCGGAGCTCTTGTTCACGTGGACCAGAACTCGGGATACCCGGGATGCCAGGGCCTCGGCGCGAGCCACGCGGATCATGATCTGCGGATCACGGTGATTGTGCTGACGATGATCATCATGGTGACGATTGTGGTAATTGTGACGATCGCGGTGACCATCGTGGTGATGAGTTTGCGTTCCGACCGCAGGCATTGTGGTCAATGTAAACATGACTCCTTATTTTAAAAAAGAGGTGTCAGTTTTGTTGCCAGATAAAAGGGTAAAAAAATAATTATCTTATCGATGGTGAGAATGATTGTGCTGACGATGACCATCATGGTGATGATTGTGGTAATTATGACGATCGTGGTGATGATCGTGGTGATGATCACGGTGATGGTGAGAATGATTGTGCTGACGATGATCATCATGGTGATGATTGTGCTGATGATGATTATCATGGTGATGATTGTGGTAATTATGACGATCGTGGTGATGATCGCGGTGATGATCGTGGTGGTGATCGTGGTGGTGATCGTGACGAGCGTGGTGTTGAACATTGTGATGATGATCATGATGGCAATGCTTTGATTATTCACTCAGATGATGCTGATGCCGTGTGGTGTATCGCAAAGTTTTGCAACAATCTAAGAGCCACTCACTTCCTGGTCTCCATCCTCCTCTTTCTCATCCTCATCATCTTCCCACCTCATTCCACCTCTCCCTCCACTCCCCACCTCACCTCCCCCCACCACCATCCTCACTCCTCACCTCCTCTCTGGACGTCCTCACCTCCTCTCTGGACGTCCTCACCTTCCTCCCACCATTCTCATCTCCTGCTTTGCCTCACCATGCCCACCTCGTTCCACCACCTCCTCCTCCTCCTCTCACCTACCATCCTCACCTCTCTTCTCTCTCCACCAACTCACTACCAACTCTCACCACCACCTCCATCCTCCTTCCCATCCTCCTCCGCATCCTCTTCCTCCTCACCACATCCACACCTCTCCACCACCTCTCCCCTCCCCACTACCATCACCACCTCCTCCACCTCTCCCCACTACCACCACCACCACATCTCCCCACCACCACCACCACCTCTCCCCTCTCCACCACCTCTCCCCTCCCCACCACCTCTCCCCACCACCACCACCTCTCCCCTCCCCACCACCTCTCCCCACCACCACCACCACCTCCACCACCACCTCCTCTCACCACCACCACCACCACCTCCTCCCCACCACCACCACCACCACCACCTCTCCCCACCACCACCACCACCACCTCCTCTCCCCACCACCACCACCACCTCACCACCACCACCTTTCCCCTCCCCACCACCTCCTCTCCCCACCACCACCACCACCTCTCCCCTCCCCACCACCACCACCACCACCACCTCACCACCACCACCTCCCCACCACCACCACCTCCACCACCACCACCTCTCCCTCCCCACCACCACCACCACCACCACCACCTCTCCTCTCCCCACCACCACCACCACCACCACCTCTCCCTCCCCACCACCACCACCACCACCTCTCCCCACCACCTCACCACCACCACCACCACCACCACCACCTTTCCCCTCCCCACCACCACCACCACCACCACCTCTCCCCACCACCTCCCCACCACCACCACCACCACCTCACCTCGATGTTCTCGCGGTAGCTGGGCACCTGCGCGCAGAACTGCCTCCGTGCCACCATCTCGCCGAACAGGGCCGGCGCCTCCTCCAGGGCCCTGGCCATGGCCTCCAGGCCCCAGAACGTCGCCTCCGCGTGGACGGCCAGGGCCTCCCGGAGCCCGTTGGGGGCCTCGGCCGGCGGCGTGGCGCCCTCCCGCAGGAAGGCCAGCACGTGCCCAAAGTGCCTGCCGTCGCGGTCCAGGAACACGCGGCCCTCCTCGTCCAACCGCAGGGGCGGTTGGCGGCCCTCCCAGGCCGCGGCCGCGGCCGCCTCCCCCGGGGAGGCCGGGCGGCCGGGCGGCTCGCCGAAGAGGTCGCTGAGGCGGGAGCCGGGGGCGCTGCGCAGGGTGCCGAGCGCCGCGGTGAAGTGCAGCCCCCCCACGTTGAGGCGGACCACCGGGGGCAGCTGGGAGGGCGGCAGCTGTGGGGGGGGGGGGGGGGGGGGCCGGAGGCCGCGCGGGAGACGGGTCCAGCACCGGAGCGGTGACGGAGGTGGCCAAGCGCGACAGGTTGTGTGTAGTAGTGTATAGTGTAGTGTATAGTAGTGTAGTGTATAGTGTAGTGTATGGTGTAGTGTATAGTGTAGTGTATAGTAGTGTAGTGTATAGTGTAGTGTATAGTGTAGTGTATAGTGTAGTGTATAGTGTAGTGTATAGTGTAGTGTAGTGTATAGTGTAGTGTATAGTAGTGTATAGTAGTGTATAGTGTAGTGTATAGTAGTGTATAGTGTAGTGTATAGTAGTGTATAGTGTAGTGTATAGTGTAGTGTATAGTAGTGTAGTGTATAGTGTAGTGTATAGTAGTGTAGTGTATAGTGTAGTGTATAGTAGTGTAGTGTATAGTGTAGTGTATAGTGTAGTGTATAGTGTAGTGTATAGTGTAGTCTATAGTGTAGTGTAGTGTATAGTGTAGTGTATAGTAGTGTATAGTAGTGTATAGTGTAGTGTATAGTAGTGTATAGTGTAGTGTATAGTAGTGTATAGTGTAGTGTATAGTGTAGTGTATAGTAGTGTATAGTGTAGTGTATAGTGTAGTGTATAGTAGTGTATAGTGTAGTGTATAGTGTAGTGTATAGTGTAGTGTATAGTGTAGTGTATAGTAGTGTATAGTAGTGTAGTGTATAGTGTAGTGTATAGTGTAGTGTATAGTAGTGTATAGTGTAGTGTATAGTAGTGTATAGTGTAGTGTATAGTAGTGTAGTGTATAGTAGTGTAGTGTATAGTGTAGTGTATAGTAGTGTAGTGTATAGTAGTGTATAGTGTATAGTGTAGTGTATAGTAGTGTAGTGTATAGTGTAGTGTATAGTGTAGTGTATAGTGTAGTGTATAGTAGTGTAGTGTATAGTGTAGTCTATAGTAGTGTAGTGTATAGTAGTGTAGTGTATAGTGTAGTGTATAGTAGTGTAGTGTATAGTGTATAGTAGTGTAGTGTATAGTGTAGTGTATAGTGTAGTGTATAGTGTAGTGTATAGTGTAGTGTATAGTGTAGTGTATAGTGTAGTGTATAGTGTAGTGTATAGTGTAGTGTATAGTGTAGTGTATAGTAGTGTAGGGTATAGTGTCAGTGCGTTGTTAAAGCCAGCAGCGCCTGACGCAGCCGATCGGCGAGGTTTGTCACGTGGACAGAACGTGCCAATTAGTTACTAGTACAGCACTAGTGTATAGTGTAGTGTACAGTGTAGTGTATAGTAGTGTAGTGTGTAGTGTATAGTGTAGTGTATAGTAGTGTAGTGTGTAGTGTATTGTAGTGTAGTGTATACTAGTGTAGTGTATACTAGTGTATAGTAGTGTAGTGTATAGTAGTGTAGTGTATAGTAGTGTAGTGTATAGTACTGTAGTGTATAGTGTATAGTAGTGTATAGTGGTGTAGTGTATAGTAGTGTAGTGTATAGTGTAGTGTATAGTAGTGTAGTGTATAGTAGTGTAGTGTATAATAGTGTAGTGTATAGTACTGTAGTGTATAATAGTGTAGTGTATAGTGCAGCGTATAGTAGTGTAGTGTATAGTAGTGTAGTGTATAGTAGTGTAGTGTATAGTAGTGTAGTGTATAGTACTGTAGTGTATAGTAGTGTAGTGTATAATAGTGTAGTGTATAGTGCAGCGTATAGTAGTGTAGTGTATAGTAGTGTAGTGTATAGTAGTGTAGCGTATAGTGTAGTGTATAGTATAGTGTAGTGTATAGCAGTGGTGTATAGTGTAGTATATAGTGTAGTGTATAGTAGTGTAGTGTATAGTGTAGTGTATAGTGTAGTGTATAGAGTAGTGTATAGTGTAGTGTATAGAGTAGTGTATAGTAGTGTAGTGTATAGTGTAGTGTATAGAGTAGTGTATAGTAGTCTAGTGTTTAGTGTAGTGCCTCTATAGAGCCCAATGTGTTCACTTACCGACCATTCCCCTGTTAAAGACGGGCTGTAATAGCTCCGGTGAATATTAATAAACGCGTCTATCAACCCTGTTTCTTTTAACATTGCGTGTTTATAACGCTGTTGGTATCTTTACGTACGCATAACCATTGTTTAAATATTACGTAGTACGTTTTTCTGTTTTCGGGGTGAAACAGTGGGTAACTTCCATTGCTTCTTCATCATCATCATCATATTATTATTATAAATAAACTTCCCTTGCTGTCGCAACGAATCAAGCGCTTTGACGTGCACCACCTATGCCCGCTTAACGAACAAATCACCGAACGCCCGGTCACGTGGAACCGATCACCGCCATCAAGAGGCGGTTATCCACTGTGTCACGGGCACGTGCGCTCACGTTTGCTTAACGTTGCGCGCATTTGCAGACGCGTACTTACATACATGCACGTATGCACATTTGCAAACCGCAGGTGTAAGTGATACACCGACTAACCCTGCCTTGCCAACTTTGCACGCAAATATCACTCCCCCTCCCCTGTGCATGTTGGTGGTTGTTGGCGCTGTTGTTGTTGTTGTTGATGCTGTTGTTGTTGTTGTTGATGATGCTGTTGTTGTTGGTGCTGTTGTTGTTGTTGGTTCTGTTGTTGTTGATGCTGTGGTTGTTGTTGGTTCTGTTGTTGTTGATGCTGTTGTTATTCTTAGTTTTTTCGGTAAAGTCACGTTGAAGAGAAACAACAAAATAATAAAATATATATAAAACAATAAAAATTCTCACGACGTTTCGACCATAACTCAAACGGTCGTCTTCAGGTGTGTTGGTTCGCATAAATTTATTTGTAAACGGCGCATTTATTTATTTATAAAAAATAAAAAAAACGGTTAGCGCCACGCGCAACGATTTGGCAGTTTACCCAGGACTAGTCCATCTATATTCTGAAAAGAGGAGGGGGGAGACGAAATTTTTTATAATGTATGCTGTCTGAAAGCCACTGTAAGCGTGAACAATCAATTAAGACCTGAAATGGTTTATCAAATCTTTCCAATGATTGCTAAGATAGAATCCATCTTCTCGGTTGAAATTGTCTCTGTGCTTGTATATGTGGATAGCCTCATGAACGAATCTCTCATGGAAGCCAGATGGCTTACAAAGAACCTCTGTCTTGGAAAAGTCAATGGCATGTGAGCCTACTGAATTAGAACAATGATCTGCCACGGCCGAGGTGTTGGTCCTACCGTGTTTAAGGTCTGCTTTGTGTTCACGAATGCGGTCCGAGACATGGCGTTTGGTTTCTCCAATGTAACTACTACCACAGAGGCAACTTAGTTTGTAGACACCAGGGTATTGTATGTCCAGAATCACATCTTTTACAGACGGAACCAGATCACGGATTTTATGTAATGTGTTGAAACGGACCTGGATCTTGTGTTTATTCAAGATTTTGGAGATCTTTTTTGTGATCCCAGCAATGTAGGGTAAAGTGATGGTTTTGAAAGGCTCCTCAAGAGGGTTTTTCTTCATGGTTTGAGTGATAGCTTTGCAGATTGTATAGTCGGAGTAACCATTAGCCCTAAGAGCTTGGTGTACGTGCTTGAGTTCACTGCTTATGTGTTCCTGGTCGGATATGCATTGGGCTCTATGATACAGAGTCTTGATGAGAGAATTCTTCTGTGATGGATGGTGGTGGGAATCCGGTTTCAGATAAGCATCCGTATGGGTAGCTTTCCTGTAGACAGAGTGGCTCATTGAACCATCAGGTCTCTTTTTAATTAGGACATCCAAAAAAGGTATCTTGCCATCTATTTCGACTTCCATGGTAAATATGATGGCTGGGTGTATGGAATTGATGTGGTCGAAGAATTGGTCTAGAGCAGGCCGGCCATGTGGCCAGATGACAAAAGTGTCATCCACGTACCTCTTCCATAAGGTTGGGCGCAGAGTGGCAGTCTGGATGGCGTCAGTCTCAAATTTCTCCATGAAAATGTTAGCTATAACTGGAGAAAGGGGGGAGCCCATTGGGGTGCCCTCAGTTTGTTTGTAGAAAGTTCCATTCCAAGTGAAGTATGTATTGGTTAAACAGTGTCTCACCAGGGGGGGTACCTCAGTGTTTAGTCCTTGATGAACTAAGTCTTCAATTATTGCAATGGTGTCAGGTACAGGAACCTTGGTGAATAAGGAAACTACATCAAAACTGACAAGCAGGTCGTCTGGGGACAGGGAAATACCCTTGATTGTCGATACCAGGTGAGTAGAATTTTGTACCGAAGAGGTGGTCTTTCCAGTGAAAGGACGCAGGATTTCAGACAAAAAACGAGCTAGTTTGTAGGTGGGGGAGCCGATAGTAGAGACTATGGGACGAAGGGGTGTATCTACTTTATGTATTTTTGGTAAGCCGTATAATCTTGGTGGCCTGGCAGCAGAAGGTTTCAACGAAAACTGTTTAGATTGATCAATTAATGCGGTTGAATCAGAAATTATTTTGTTGGTTTGTGTGACGAGGCTGTTGGTGGGATCTCTTTTATTTTTGTATAACTACCATCGTAGAGTAATTCTTTAATTTTGTTGTTGTATTCTATTTTATCCATGATGACAGTAGCATTGCCTTTGTCAGCTGAGAGGACTACAATATCATTCCTCTTTTTTAATTTATATAATTCAAAACGCTCATCTTTGCTGAGGTTGCTAGCTGGCATCTTAGCGTTTTTGAGGGTTGCAGCGATTTCAGATCTTGCTACGTCTGCAGCGATGTGACCCAGGCCCCTGAGAGCAACGTCTACTTGGGCAATTATATCATTAACTGGTATGTGTTTAGGTGTGACTGCAAAGTTTAGACCTTTAGCTAAAACGGATTTCAGACCATCGGAAATAGAACTGTTACTGCGATTAATTACGACTTTATTAACGTCTAACTTTTTGGTGTGTGGGTCCGGTCTTTTGTTGAAGAGGAGGTTAAATTTGGAAATCAGGTTTTCCTTACATTTGGTCGACATAGTAGCAGCTGAAGAGGCAGTCATATTGTCTACATGTTCCCAATCCGATGTGGACATTGTTGCCGTCA